CTGCAGTGGTGTCTCACTGTACTTGCTTGCACTTGTCTCTCCAGATGCACAGCTGAGCAGAGACAGTGGTGGTTCATAACACAATTTCTTCCACAAACAGAAACATATTTTGCCTGTAAACAGCTGGAACTACCCTGTCTCCAGCAGAATTGCACAGGAAGAGAGATACCCCAAAAGCAAAGCTAGAGAGTTCACAGCTTAAACTACACTAAGGATTTGCTAACTTCTTCTGATTTTAACTCAAAGGTTGAACTAATGAAATACCTTTGCATTAATAACTTCGTTTTAATTAAAGGGGAAAAAAAGTGAAGTGAAATCACACGTGTTCATCAGGTTAGTATTTAAATTGTTTTAATTAGATTTTGAAGTTCATGTGTAGCTCTCAGTAAGAGATGGCCACGGCTCCATTTTTGTGGGATTCCTTCTAATTTTTTAATTTAGACTATGGAGGGGCTAACACAGGGGCAGGTGTGTTTACATTGCAACAGCTGCTCTTTGGTAACAATGCTGCATTCAGAGCTAATAAGAGCTCGGAATTTGCTGAATGCTGAAAAGTACAGATGAATTATCAAATTACTGTAGAGATCTACAATATTTGTCTCTTACAGGTTTTTTGTTATCTCTCTTGATATTTTTTCTGGTACTAATGTTCTCAGGGAAAAAAACAAAAACAAAACAAACAAACAAACAAACAAAAAAACAACAACAAAAAACCAAAACAAAACAAGAAAACCAAAAAAAATACCCAGAACCAAAACCTTGAAACTTCCAGTTTTCTGTCTTGTGTTTTCCCCTTTTTTCCCAGAATGAGCAAAAACCAAGCCCTGTGCCTGTCTCCATGTTGTCTCCCTCATCACCAGCATCAACACCTCGAGGTAAAACCAACTCCAACCCTTGCAGTACCTCCCACTACCAAACCAAGCCACACCTTAAATCCTTTTCCACAATACACCCTGTTTTCTCTCATTACCTTCATGATTCCTCACAACAGCTTTCTCCCACCTTCCCCAGCTCCTTTGGCTTGCCCTCCTGGATGAGCAAGGAATAGGAAAAGCTTTGACAGGCTTGAATTGGCACTGGTTACCACCAGGTATGTGCTGCCAGGCCATGAGCTACGCCTGTGCTACCAGGCTGAGCATGTGAGAGCAGAGCCTGCCCTGCCTTCCCTCCCTGGCTGCTGAACTCCTCAAACATGTCAGAATATAAGTTCTTCAGATCTTCACCCCTCTTTTAAGTTCAGTGGAAATGAGCTGATAGAGTGAGCAGGAATATAAGGGGGGAACAGATTAGCACTGTGAACATCTAAGCTTTATTTCTTTCGTATAACAAGTTAAAAATGGGTCTGAAGCCTCATCTATGGTTTTGTCTACCCTTTAAGGCTTAAAATTAGAATGGCTAACTTCTTACCATGTAATATCTGTTCTGTTTCTCCTCTGCATTTATATGGTCTCCATTACCATCACAGGAGCATCCTCACATCCTTTTAGGGATGTGATTCCCCCGTCTCCCTCCAGTGAAGATGAACAGCATTTTTAGCCCAATTTTAAATGCAGGAATTGGGCCAGAGACAAAATCCTCAGTGCAGAAAGGAAGGTCTAAGCAAAGGGGCATCTGCATTGCAACACAGAGCACTGTAGCACTTCTCTGGCTGTAAAACCTTAAAGCCTTGTGCTTTAAAAGCTTAAAGCTCATGTTTTTAAGGTAAAACCTTGTGCTGCAGCCACCATCTCCCAGAGAGCAGCCCTGTCTGCTGTGCCAAATTCATGTTGCAGAGCAAAACTGTAAAGGTAACCAGATCAGCTCCTGGGTTTGGTTTCTTGCTCCCCTCCTAATTCTCCTTTTTTTCCCCCTGTCCCATTTCTATATTTTTCTGCTCTTTTCCTCTATTTTTACCCTTCTCTTATTAAACCAGGCAGTAAAAAGAGGCATTTCTTATCTGTAGCACTTGAGAAAGAGCTTGTTTTAACAGAGCTTGACTCAGAACCTTCCTGCTCACATCTGTGGCTCCACAAAGGCAGGAAAAACTTCCCAGGAATTGTTTTCTTGAACTGTTTTGTGCTCACAGTAAAATCAGTGGCTCTCCCTTGCTTATGGAGCTCTTTATTCAGACTTCCTGGCCTGCCACCTTCGAGGCTGGATTGACCATTCTTTGAAAAAAGTTTATACCTTGATAAACAAAATGCACCTGACTGTTATTACAGATATAGGTAAGTAAACAAAATATCTTTCTTCTGTTAAAGAGGTTTAGCTGTGCAATCAAAAGTAATTCAGTACCTGTTTAGCCTTGGTGCTGGCTAACAAAAGGCAGATTCCACGCCCTAGTGGAAGAAAGATCAAAGGCTTTTTTGGCATTAATGAATGTTAAGTAAAACCCCCAAATATTTAATCAAGAGGGAACAAAACCTTAAGACTCATGCAGCTGTGAGCACTTTTTACAAATTTTCATAGTTTGTATTTGAATCCTATCTAAGGGTTTGTTACCATACAGATGAACAGGATTAAAGTCAGGTGGAAAAGGGTGGGATTTTCAAAGCATTTTTAAAACTGTCATGGACATAAATGGGGCCCAGGTTGGGGCAATGGAGGGGGAAGATCTATTACAGGCTGTCACTTCTGAAAAAGCATTTAGTGTGATGGAGTGTGATTATGACTCAGAAACACAATGAATGCTTTAGAGGGAGGCAAGAAGAAAAGGATGCACCTGACTGGTTTTGTAAGGCTGGTTACAAGTGATACAATAATTCTTTCACAACCAAGGTGGCAATCAGCTGATATCCTGAATCAGAAGATTTGATTGCCCAGCTTAGAAAACACAATGCCACTTGTCACACAACTACCCCAAATCATTATAATAATGTATTGTTTTCATTGCAGTTATGATCGAGAGCCCTGGTGATGGATCAGAATCCACTTTGCAGTGACTCAGCACATACCAAAAATTCAGGGGTTCTTTCACCAGAGAGTTTATGGAAGATAATGGGCAGGAAAAACACACACAACCTGGCCACTGATACTGGTCAGCACAACAAGAAACAATCCTATCACACCAGGTGTTTAACTAGTGCTACTCTTGTATAGAATCACAGCAGAGGAGGCATTTTAAAGGGTATTACAGGGATTAAAGTGGAAATACTCAGGAGATGTTTCAGAGATGCTCCACCTGTACACAGAGGCAACACAAACAAAGCAAAGGGGCTTAACTGAAAAATAATAATTAAGTGATAGGGGTGACATCAAAAGGAGCAGTTGTGGATATGACACCCAGCTAGTGCGTGAGAGAGGTTGGGTAACAAAAGCCACAAAGAGCCTTGTGAGTATTTGAGGTGGTGGAGAAGGGGCACCTTGTAAAGAGAAGACACAGGCAGATCATGCCACAAAACAATCCAGCCAAGAAACTGGGGAGATAATCTCTGCAGCAACGTGTTGATGATAAAGTGGAGATAAGATGGAATTCCTTGGTGTTGGCAGAAGGAGGTTCTACCTTCTAAGATGCAATATGAGGAATCTGCATGTCACACATGTATATAGGGGAGAAAAAAAGGGGTTTAGATGTGCTTTGCAGGCAGAAGATTTAGCCTTTCCCTACAGCTTGGATGTGATGATCTACAGAGAAAAAAAAAAGGCAAAAATAGAGTTCAGGTTGTTTATCCAAAGGTTGGTAAGGATGAAAAAAAAAAAAGAAAAAAGAAGTTTCCAGGCAATCTATCATCAGAAATCACTGTGGAGATTTCAACTTGGATAGGAGGGGAGTTTCCTTTGTAAAAGCTAAAAAGAAAAACAAGGCCAAAAATTAGCATTCTGTTTAAAAAAAAACCCAAAGCAATACATCAGTTTTAAAAGAAAAAAAAAAATGGAATCAGGAGAACATGGTGATCATTTCTGGTTTGGCCACTCAGCCTTAGCAGTGCCAGTTGCCATCTTTCTCTCCATCACAGAACAATTGTTTACACTTGTGCAAAATCATTAATTGCAAAAGAACCTTTCAAGTGCTGATGAGATCAGTGTAACACAGGGCTATTACTGAAAGTATCATCTTGCATGTGAGGCTTTAATTACAGTGATGATGTAGAGAATCCTGCTTACCTCTCCCAGTCCAAGCTGCATGGAGAGGACTGGCATTAAAAGTTAAAAAAGCATTGTTTAACTGGGCCACTGGTGTATTTACTGTGGAAATCAATAAGCCAGGGGAAAAAAAAATAAAGCAGAAGATTCTGTGCAATTTGTAAGTGTCTGCTGTCAAAGTAAACCACATGGAAATTTCATTTAAATATTTTGGAGCAAAATGTTCAGGTGATGAAAATTGGGGAATCTCCCACAAAATCAATGAAGTCTGCATCAGTTGAATATGCTTTGGTTACCTCTTTATCTGTGTCTTTTTTTTCTTAATATAGTTGAAAACCAATATTATTTATGTGGACTCAATAATGCCACATTAACTGAGAAATCACCTGGCAGATGAAATAATAATGTGGATAAAACCCAACAAAAAATTAACTGCTAGAAAAATCTTGTTTAACAAATACTTGGGTGAAGTGCTCAGCCTCTTAGAACAGAGAGGATGTTGAGAATTTTTATTATTCATTATTAAGAATGATGAAAAGAAGAGACATTGCTCTCTTAATCCATCAAAGCCCAAAAGGAATTTATGTCGTACAGAAGGGGAATAGAAAAAAACTGAGTTACATTCCCTAGAACGAGGTCAATGTTCATTCTTGGAGATCCAGAAAACGCACTTTGAAGCCCATAATTATGTATGGGAAACGATCTATAAAATTGCAGAAGCAGGAAAAAAAAACCCTCTCACGGAAGACAGAACACGTGCCAAGGTCTCAGCAGCTCTTGGGGTGTCTGTGGGGTTGTACCCAGAGTTCAGCATTTTCAAAGAAAAGAAATATAAACGTTCTTCCTGCACCTACAGAAGCTCTCCCATCTGAATTTGTAATTGGGGCAATTACCAACTGAATTACCTGCCTGCATGTGTAATTGGGCAATCTTGTACTTGAACTTGCATTTCTGTGGCAGGACAGCCTTGCTGATGGTGTCCCGGACTTTCACTGCGATCCACCCAGGAGATCAAAGGACTGAGGGCCCGGAGGTTTCTGGGTCCTGATGTAGCTGAGTCACCTGTTGAGTCTGTTGTGTCACAGAATTAGTCATTCCCACTTGGGAATGACTGCAGGAGCAGATATTGCCACGTTTACAGGCAGCAGAAAGGATGAGCTTGTGGAGATTTCTACTGCAGGACAAAACTCAGTAGTGACCCAGAACCTGCACCCTGTTCTATTAAATTCTACATCATCTGAGTTTAAATCCAACATAGCTGCAAAATGCCTCTTTTTAATCCAGAGAGAATCAGATCAATTGTTTAGTCTCATTCCAGTATTTGTTTCCAACAGTTCTTTCCCAAAGGAGCAAGTTACTAGAAAATGTCAGAATCATCGAGTCCAGGAGCAGAGACAACCTTGCAATAGATGCTCCTCCAGAAGGGTCACAAATTTGCTACTCCCTGTATTTCACAGACACTTCCCACCCTCACACAGAGAAGTTTAGGCCTCAAGTAAAAGCTCGAGGGACACAATAATTACAATTAGAAAGGGGATAGAAAAGGTGAAGTGTATTACCAACGATGTGTGCCTCTGCTGAGAACAAATGTGTTTGTTAAATGACTCCAGCAAGTGTGTGTTGAACATAGAGAAAAAAATTAAAAACCCCAATGATCTCTGCCAGCCTGACCAGAGAGAAAATTCCTTCTTTCCTGACCCCAAATCAGGCAATCACCCTAAGTCTGGGTGTGGGAGCAAGACTCATCAGCCAGGCATGTGTAAGAGTTTAATTCCACTTGCCAAATCCACCCTCAAGTTGTGGCCAACCTCCAGTGCTTCAGAAAGCTATAGAAAACAGGGTTTAGAAAGATGCAAAAAGAAATTTTGGGCTTTCCATAGGGCTTAGTTATGATGAACTAGACAGAAAAAAAAAGTGGAAAAATCCAGTTCACGTTGTACACCCTGAGGATGACAATATTTGCACACCATTCTGTTTTCAGAAAAAAGAAAGGACCAGAGCTTTTAGGCAAACTGCAGAGAAATGTGATGAGATTCTAGTTCGGATAGGAAGGGAATGTCTTTTGTAAGAGCTAAAAAACCCACCCAAATCAGCAAGACAAAAAAAAATTAATACTCGTGGGTTTAAAATAAGCAGTACAGCCCAAATTTAAAAGTAATAATAACCAAATAATGTGTTTTTCAGTGAGTTTTGATTACCCCTGAGGAAAAAAATGAGTACTCAAAATACACATCAAAATGGAAAGCATCCTTTTGTCTGGTACAGTTACCTCGTGAGAATCCACACACTGTGGTGTTTGTAAAAAATAAACATGAAACGAAGCAGAGCTCAAGCAGCTTTTCAAAACCCATTGGGGATAGCTGTGAATCAAACACTCATGACTTAAAACACCAGGTGAAACACCTACCTCGAGCTTCCCTCCTGATCTGTGATCTCTGCTGTTCACTCACTGAGCTGGTTTCATTTTTTACCTCTTCTTCAGCTTTGGAGCTTCACACTGGAAAACACTTCCAGCTTATAACAACATCTCCCTGGGAAAAGCTGTTACCAGGAAAGGCACACACATAGTTTATGGGAATGCTTTCTAGGGCCACTCTCAGCTATCAGAGGACATCCATAAGCCTTGTTGAAGCTGAGGGGATTACTTCCCAGTGATACTGCCATCAGGAAGAAGGGAACCTGTCCTGTCAGCTTGAAAATGTGTGAATATTCTGTGTGGCACACTACTGAGTGAAGCTTTGCCAAGAGCTGATTGGCCTTGATTTACTCCAGCTGATGCACATCATCTCAAAATCTGGGTGTCCCAAGTACAACCCTTCAGTGGTTTCTGATCAGTAGTGTGGCTCACCTGAAGGTGGAATTGCTCTCTTAAAGCCTCACCAGAGGCCCCTTTGGCAGCTGAGTTCCTAGAAACCCAGCCTTGTGTCTTCTGTGGCACTCTGGGGTTTTTAACCTGTTCGTTTGTTAGTCAGGCAGAGGAGTGGAGTGTCACTGAGCAAATGCTGATCCCACAGGAATTTATTTCATGGCTTCAAGTCACATATAATGTCACAAATCAGTCACATCCCTCCTGTCCTCTGTAACAACATCAGCATGAACTCAGCACAGGAGACAGAGCAGCTGGACCCACATTCCCTCATTAAAAACGTGCCCATTTCTTTTGGGTTTGCTCATCTTGCATGGTGTACTTATGGCCTGCCTTTTATCCCAGCCGTGCATGGTCATTGTTGATAGATCAGAATATTGATTACAGCTGAACCTGATTTAATTGGTGTTTGGTAACTTCATGAATTCAGCCATTATGTATCCAGCACTGCAAGGATGAACAGACCAGCCAGTTATTATTCCAGAGGAAAGGCAACATGAAGTGGGAGGCTGGAAAGACAGCACAAAAGTCATGAGTGGGTGAAGGAAACCAAAGCTTGGGTGGAGCAAAAAGAAAGGGGCAGGGTGTGAATTGGGCTGGTGGTGAAGCTGCAGGCAAGGGTGACATATCCTGCACAGTTATTACAATGATTTTAATTACCCCTCATGCCTGACATTCCTTTAGCACCAGGCTGCCATGGGTGGAGGCTGATGGGTGGAAAGGGGCACCGTTCTCCTCCTACCCTTGTGCAATTCCAACCACAGTAATAACTGGTAAATCCCTGGAGATAAGGCCCTTTGACTTATGAATTCCTCCTAAACTTGATTTGAGCTTTCTCGAGGTGTTCTACACTTCCTGTGTCCATGAATGTTGTTCATCTGCCGAAGCCAAAGCATGACAGACATACTGGTTTTTGTAGTTATTAAGCTCACTAAGGCCAGTCTGTCTTGTCCATACTGTGCTCACTGGGGGTGTGTGGCCTAATTAAGAGGTGGAGCAGTTTAAAGGAAAAATAGAAACATGGGCCCATTTCCTTTCCTTTTTCTCACTGACAAAATTCCTAACTGACAGAAAAAGATGCTTTTCCAGTAATTGCATCAGCCCTGTTTCTGGTTGGCACAGGCACTCCCAGAGCTCAGTGACCAATCACTGACTGTGCCAGGATCGTGAACAAAAAGAACTTAGTTTTTTAGGAAAACCTCAAATAACACACAGCATTTTTACAGGCACTGCAATAAAATAAACTCTGGTCACCTCCCTTTCAGCATGTTTTAAAGATTCCTATTTGGGGAACAAGAGCTAGAATAAAAATTGGAAAGTTGTTTTATAATTTATTATTTTCTTTACGACAATGATTTACTGTGCTGATGGTATCAGTTGCCTCAAATCTCTATTGTAGTTTTCTGACTTTTAGGAGCTGGGCAGAGCATAGACTTTAATTCCTGAGGGAGATTTTTTAGAAAATCTATGGAAAATGTTAGATTTTGGCAGATGAATCAAACTTCTCCAACAAAAAGGTGTGACTGTAATGCAGATTCTCTTGACTGTAGAGTAACTATACACTAGCAGAATAAATGATTGATAAAAAAAAGTTGTACTGTAACATCTAAAGCTGAGGTGCAGTAATTACTCCATGAAGTGGTAAACTAGGGATGTAGAGCAGTAATTGCAATCATATTGTCACATTCAGAACTCTGTTATCTTTACTGCCCATGATACCCGTGATATGAACTTTTGATTGCTCACAAAACTCTCATAGACACAATTTTATGAATTATTATAAAATAATAAAATTTTAGTCACCCAGTAACATGTTTTATTTTATAAAACATGAGAACTCAGTAAGTCACCAGGCATTCACATATCTCAAGTTCCAACCTCTTCCAAGCTTCCACCATTCAACCTCCTTTTCAAAAGCCATCTCCCTTCTCTTGCTCTGCCTTAGCTTTACTTCTGCATTTTAGTCTGGTAATTCAAGGTTTTGCTCTCACCAAAATTATGAAGATGAAAGAGCTAGCATAGAGGCAAGATATTAGTCTTGCCATCATACAAAAAAAGCTGGTTCCTCATTCCCCACAGGAATGCAGGAGGATATGGGAGCCCTGCCAAGACATCAGCTCACCCCACGACAGACAAGTCATCTCACAGCTTCAGGAATCTTCTGGAACCGGCCAGATATCATCAGCCAGCTCCAGCTTGTTCCTGAAAGACAGTGACACTGCTCCTGCTGGGCTCCCAAAGCACTGTGGGAACCACTGCTTGGTGCCCATGGAAGATGTTCTTGGCCATGTACCCAAAAACTGCAGCTCCCAGCTCAGCTGCCTGGGGGTGATTTGCCCTCCAGCCCGGGGTGAGGCTCAGCTGAGCCTCCCTCCAGCACGTTGGTGCCTCACCAGCTGGGAATGATCCCTCTGCACTCTGGTGCCTTTTAGTTCACTGCCTGTAACAGGAAGATACACTTTTGGTGCCAGTATTTGTGTTAACAAACCTTATATTTTGAGGTGATCAGATATTACACTAACTGAAGCTGTGTAAAGATCTAAGAGAGCAGACTCAGATCACTTATTTTACTTGCTGCTTCATGGTTCTGGGCCCTACTCAAGGGCCTAGCTTGGTATGTTCTGCACTATAGAGTGCCACAATATATTTTAAGGGATTGCTCTACTGTCACTTTTACTGTACCAGATTTATTTTTCATCAGAGGTCTGAGATATACCAGTAACACATTCATCATGTCACTCATCCCAGGAAACTCAGAAAACAAATGGAAACCAACCATTCCTTTCCTAACATGGGCAGCTCTCATTAGCACGGGAATTTGTTTTGCTGGTTGTTTCTGTTGTTTTCAGAAACTGCTTCTGCAAATAATCTGAATGAAAAGGAGATAATTCAGAGACCCCTTCTTTGTAAAAAAAAAAGGGAAAAGAAAAAGCCTCACTACATAGTGAGCTTATGGATTTGAAGCACAAATCTACAAGATTAAATATGTCTAGAACTATGATTTACTGGCTTGAAATACCAACTTACTCAATATTTGCGTGGTGAGAGTTTTATGTATTGCCAGATTGTGATGCCAGAAAAGGATATTTTGTCATTTACATTTACTCAACTACGCACAGACTACAACTATTTGAGTAGTGTATGGTTTTGAAGAGATAAAACGGAAAAAAACAAGCCACGCATCACTCATTGCAGTGACCCAGGGTTATTACTGAAACTGTATTGTGAATTCTGCACTTCTCCATCAGTCACAGGCAGACTCTGTACTTGTTAAAATTAGTTGCAAAGCTGGCACTAGCGCTTCAAAAAGACCACTTTAGGGAAAACAGATAACGGTAGCGCCCCTGCAGTTTCGGTTGTGGTTTGGTTTGGTTTTCTAAATGCATGTGGAAGGAACAGGTCTCATTTACTGAAACTTTTGCCTTTTGGTGTGCGTATGAAACAAGAGGCTGAGCTCCAGACCAGGCCGATCCCATCAGCGACAGAAACAATCGCACATTTCAAAGGCACCTCCCCTGCAAGGCCAAGGAACTTTTTGTGATGTAAATGCAACCCGCTTGTTTGTTTTTGTTGATGTTTTTAAATGCCAAGTTGTAGATATGCGTGTTGTGTTAAACACATCAAACAAGGAACCGGGACATCGGTCTCCTGCATTCTGAGTTCTGCTGTAGACATGGATAGTTTGCTTAAGGTTGCATTTCAAACAGCAGCTCTTTGATGCTTTAAATGCCTGGCTGAACAGTCACCATTAACACAAGAAGGTGGGAACATGCAGTCAAATGGAGATTACTGGCAGGAGAGGGACATTAACAGGGGTTGCCAAACTGAAACAGCTTCTACCTCAAAATTACTTCAGTAAAAAAACGTAGGTAAAAGCCAAAACTGTCACTGCCAGTGTTGGTATTTAAAACCTTCACTGCTACTGCGAGTGATAAACGGGAAAATACAGTTCTGGTTCCCTACAATGTGGGAAAGGAATTCTTCCATGGACATGGACCAAGGATGGGAAATCACAGGATCTGAGCTGTGCTCCTGGATGGTGGGACAGGCAACCTGTGCAGTCACAGTGCAGAGCTGGAGGTGCAAACCCGTGGCACAACATTGCACGAGTTTCACTAAAGGGTCACTAAGACTTTTTCAGCCCTGTTATTGCCAAGTTAAAAAGAAAATCATTAGTCTGCTTTCTGGGCTCCAGAGACATGTGGAAGTTTCAGCAGGTGGAGGTTTGAGCACAGAATTTGTAAAACAGAAACAGCAGCTTGAGTTCTCAAAATAACTGCTGAATTATTACTTTCAGAATTTTGATTTTCTAGGAAACACATAATATTTATAGATAAATTAAATGTCTTTTTTTATCAGAGGGTATGTGATCCACTGAGTACTCACTCTGGCTGTGATTCTTCTTTGGTGTTATGTGTCATGCCTGAAACCCTGGGGATGACAGCAGCCTGGGGAGGGGAACACAACCTCACCATTGTTCCATTTCATCATATTTCCAATCTGTGCCCACACAGGAGAGGGCGGCTTCTGGTTATCAAGGGCTCAGATAAACAACCACCGGGACCCAGCCCAGCCCTGGGCTGTTCTCCACTTTATTCTTTAAATGTGGCAATCCCCCAGTCTCATTGGTGTCTCCTATAGCACTTCATAAATGTAGAATCTGGTTCATTAAGTGCCTTGTTCAGAGGTCACTAACCATCAGCAGTCTTTAGGAAGCCAAATTGGCATGTTAAAAAAAGGAGTAAAGGACAAGCCATCTTCTGCCTTAAATATGGTTTTATCATATCCTGCAAATGAAGGGCTTTGAGTAATTTTCAGATCTGATCAAAGATCCCTTCACAGTCCAAACTACATGGGCTCCAAGGGTGGAATTTTCACAGAAACATGCAGAAGAACCTGTTGCCCCAGATAAGTTAATTAACAAAACCAGTAATGGCTGGAGTTCTGAATTCCATCGTTCTTCCAACCTTCTCTTGCCACTGTGTTATAATTTGTTGTAAAAATCATACATTGGCAACTTCACTTTATCAAAAGCTGTAACATTTTAATACTCTTCTCTTCTAATTGTGTAAGATACTGTGCATAAAATTAGATAATCAGATTCCACTGTAAATAT